CAACCAAGAGGAGACCTGATTAAACGTGACGGTGGCAATATTGGTGCGAATATTTTGCTTGAGGGAGGCATAGTCAGTCGGTAGACCGCGAAGAACGCAGAGAATAATATCTTGTTCAGAAATTTCTTCATGAGCCAGTTTTAGAGACGACACAATCGTGAGAACAGTGTCCAAATAGGATTGCATCGAATCGGTCCCTTTAGTGACACCATGTAGTCGCTCCTTCAGTTGAAAAATATGAGTTCGGGAAAGAGAATTGTACCGTTGTTCTAGATGATTCCAAATTGCAGCCGAGGTGGGAAGAGCATGAATATGTGTTTGAACCGTGGGTGAGACAATAGCAAGGAGACAGGCCCGAATTTGAGCATCAATAATATTCCAGGATTCATAGGCCGGATTTGGTTTCATAACCGACGGTTCATCCTTGCTAGGTGCCGCAGCCTTCTCATCAAGGACAAAAGACGGAGGAGATGGTTCAGACCCATCCACATAGCCGAGAAGACGATGAGCGAGAAGATTTGCACGGACGGTAGCCAACCAAGAGGGATAATTGGTGTCATCAAGCTTGACCGGGGTGAGAGATTGAAGATTCCGGACAAACAACTTGAGACCCGTAGGAAGACGATCCAAAGGATCAGACGAGGAAGAGGCCATGGCTGTGCACGGCGTGATCGACAGTGGAGGAATCGGCTCTGCCGATTTTTTTCCGGTGATTAGCGCAGCAAAGGAAGAGAGAGGTTAGGATCTTTGTGCTCTGATACCATGTTGATTTAGTAATCCAACTCAACTGAATAATTGTATACATGAGTGTTTATATAGGTGAGGATCCCTACATGAATTAGGATTCACCAAATATGTAAACTAACATAAATAACACTTCTACCATAACTACACTTCTTGCCATATATGCCTAACAGATATATACTCCCTCCGTCCACCTAAGTTCTTCCCGTTAAGCGTTATGAGGCTTGACCCGCGACTTTATTTTCAATTCAATTTAATTGATTATAGGAGTAAAATTTTCAAATAGAATTTATATAGTAATAAACTACATGAAAAGTTCTACAAAACCAGAGGTGACAAAACTATATTATTTTACGAAAAGTTTGACCCTGTGAATAGTGTCTGGGAAGATCTATGGTGGACAGAGGGAGTATAAATTTGTAAATAAAATAAAGATATGAAAATTAGATTTTATATGTTGGTTTTAGTAAGAGAATATTTTTTTTATATTTAAAGGGAGTAATTTAATTAAAAAGAAAAGTAACCCTACCTAAGAAAATGAAGTAATTAGGTGCTTGAGAACGGGACAACTGAACAAGTACCCGGCCAAACTAAATCTTGCATTAGTCAATTCTTTCCATCATCAGCATTAGTCAAGTCTTGTTCTAAAACGGAGTATATTAAAAAGGAATTTACTCAAATAGCACTAAAACATAATGACTTTCCCTAAATAGCACCACATGTGTTTTTCTTCCTAATGTAGCACTTTTAGTCATTATGCATTAGTCATTATTCAATCAAATATTCACCATCACTGGACATTATTAAGTGCTATTTAGGGAATAAAACAATTTAAGTGCTATTTAGGAAAATGACTTAAGTTTTAGTGCTATTTAGTGCAAATATTTCTATATTAAATGGGAACACACACACACGTATATATATCGTGATCACCCTATAATAAGTAGAAAGAAACTAAATTCCCAAATATATAATAGTAATAATATATGCTAAGATCACAATATATATATTTATATATAGCAAATAAAAATGAAGAAAATAATACGACTAGTAATTGTGTTTCTTTATTTGTTTCTTATTAATGTCTTATCATCACACTGCAAAGCCGACTCCGACGGGGAGACGGTGTTCCAGGGGTCATCTAATGATGATGATGATGATGATAATAATAATAATAATAATAATAATAATAATAATAATAATAATAATAATAATAATAAGTGGATTATTGGAGGGGTGGCTATCTTATTGTGTTCTATCATTGCCTTAGCCATAATATGTTTGTGCCGGAAACGTCATGACAATGAAGCATCGTCATCACAAATCCCTGCAGCCTTCACAGGTTGGTACTTGGTAATTAATTCCTATATATCCGTTTTATTTAAATATTACTTGTAGTATGGGGAAAAAAAATAAAACTTGCATATCAAATCAAGAGTTTTACAAAATAAAAAGATTATAAGAATATTTTGTTTCATCAAATAATTATTAATGAAAATACACGAATAAATAAAAATTAATTGCCGTGATTGTGTAGTTTTGCAAGGTACAATCCATTGCGGGACGTGGGAAGGAATACTCCCCTATTTTTTCTGTGTTTCATTTTACTCCGTATTTTAATAAAAAATATAATTATGTTTAGAAAAAAAAAGGTTTTTCTATTGTGCCCTTCCTAATCCATGGACATGGATGCTCTCCCACTTAAAAATTGACATGGGAATCCATTTTAACTCCGTTGCCTACTTGCCGAGTAGATTAAGGCCCTATTTTGCATCAGTATTAGACAGTATTAGAGATTAGCGTTAGCATTCTGAAAAGACTATCTGATGGTAGTCTTTAGCGTTAACGTTTTGATAATTAGTCTACACCATTAAGATTTTATCTAAAACATTAAAGCTAGTCGAAAACGTTGTTCCCAGACAAGGCATAATAAATATTCCTTATTACCTTAAGTTTTAAAATTAGAGTATGACCACTTTTCTTTCACTACCTTTATTTTTTTATCAACTTTTCTAGAGCTTTAATTTTTTTGATCAATTTTTCCGTATTAATTTATTAGATTAATAAATTATTATTATTCTATTATATCATTCTACCTTCCTAAATATTCTTATTACTTTAAGTTTCAAGAGGTAGAGTGTTAATTAATTTCTTTTGTCATCCACACATTTTCTTTTTCATAAATAAGCCATTTTTTCTCCCCGCAAAAAATCTTCACTCGTTTCTCTTTAGTTTTTCTAAAAAATTATTCCAATTTTTTTACTTTTAAATGTTTATCTTGAACTTTGTGAAAATCAAATTTTTTATGAAATAGAGGAAGTATTTGTTGACATAATTTGACATACACTTATTTAAAATTAACCAATAAGTACATCGTGATGTACGATATTATTCATTTAATTATTTGGAGGGAAAGGAGAAAAGTACATTCAATTATTTAGTGGCATTCAATAATATTGAAGAGAAGTAACTACATCATAAGTGTAGAGGAAAACTAAAAATAAGATCAATACATATTATGTGACAATCTGATATTTTTAAAAATCCTCATAGCGTAAGTAAATTTTCAAATAGTATAGCGAAAATATGTTATTCGTAATTTAAACTTTTATAAAGTGTAATTGTAAATAGGTTATTTTTCAAATAAAAGCAAAAACAATTGAGTTCTTATCATTTAATAAAGTAATTAAGAAGCTAAACTTCAATGCAAGTTAATGTTGTTTTAAAAAAATTATAATTATGGAATATTGTAAAATTAGAATTGAAAAAAATCCATTTTATTTATGTAAAGTTTTTATAAAGTGTAATGCATTTAATTGAGTAATTAAATAGATTATTACTTCGGAGTACATAAATAAATAAATAAATGGAGTTTTATACATTTAATTGAGTAATTAAGGAATTAAGGAATGGAACTAAAATTTAGTGCAAATTAATGTTGTTTCAAAGAAACATAATTATGCTATATTGCAAAATTAAATTATAAAAGAAGTCCATTTTATTTATATCAATTTTTCATTTTATTTAAAAATTATGTAAAATTCTCATTTTATGTAAGATAAATAAAAAATTATTCTCTTTAATTTTTCTTACTTTTTTTGGAATGCGGACTAGTGACATGCAAATTAAGGAATAGAAAATTACATTAATGCGAAAAAGTATAAGAAAAGTAATAATATGAGAAATTATCCTAAATATGACTAAAACATAGAAAAAGTACCAAAATAAAAATTTCATGCTTTTATTCCCGAAATAGGAGTTCGCATTGTGCTGATGTGACACTGTACATGTGCACATTACTATATTTTTTGGTAATATACATGACCATGTTTGGTAATGTAAATGAATTTTAACTCCTATTTCGGGAAAAAATTAAAAACATAAAAGTTCTATTTTGGTATAGTTTCAATGTTTTACTCCTACTTTTGTCTTTTCTCTTCCCTAATAATATGTCTGATTCATAAAATAAATAAATATCTACCTTTGAAACTTAAATTAATAGAGAATATTTAGGAAGGTAGTATGGCATAATGAAAAAAAATATTTACTAAATTAATAAATTAATACGAAGTAATTGATCAAAAAACTAAATCTTTGAAAAAAGTTGATAAAAAATACTCTCTCCATTCTACAAAAACTTCATCTTTCATTTTTTTTCTCTTTTACTAAAACACTTTCACTTTCTACTTTCTCTAATAATATATTCATCACATCTTACTTTTACTCATCACATAAATGACAAAATTGGAAGTCAACTACAATTTAACACTTCCTTATTTTAATACTTGGTCAAAATTAGAATTGATTTCCAAAACGGAGGGAGTAATACAGAATGAAAGAGAAGTGATCGACTATATTTTAAATTTTTGAAACTTAAAAAATAAAGAATCTTTACTAATTATACATAGCTAGACCTGACAAAGCGGTCGGTCAGGTCGAGTTCGGGTTCGGTATTATCAAGTTCGGGTCACTTTGGATCGGGTCTAAGAGTGCTTGTTCATGACTCAGAGTTATCGGGTTTGGGTTGACCCAACGAGTTAAGAAGCGTATTTAACATTAAAATTTTTGTTATTTAGTCAAGTGATCAATGTATTATTCAAAACAAAGAAGGAAATCATTAAAGTTTGCAGGTCTACTTGCAGCATACCTAAAGAAAATTGCAATATATCCAAAAAATTAGATTTTTGCAGTATACAAAAAAAGTTGCAGTAGATGAAAAAAACTGAAGATTCTTTCAACATACCACAAAAAATATATGCATTACACAAAAATATTGAGATTTTTGCAACATACCAAAATAAAAATTTGCAATAGATGAAAAGTCAGATTCTTGTTTATATTTTAAACATGGTACCGTCACTACATTTTTTGTAGAATGTACCAAAACACGTACCATCATTACATAATTGCAGCATACAAAAAATGCAGTATACCAAAAAAATTACGCAATGCCAAAAAAATTAATTTATACCAAAAAAATTTAGAATAAAAGAATTAAAATTTGAGTTACCCGCAGACACAACTGAAGAAGATGAAATAGGATTAGAAAATTCACTATTATTCTTGTATCTCCTAACCATTTTGATTGAGTAGGCACCTAATATCGACGAATGGTAGAAGAGTGGATGAATGAGATAGAATCATCATTTTGATTGAGTCGACACCTAATATCGATGGACGGTGAATGAGTTGAGGAACGAGAGAATGTCGGTGGATTTAGATTAGGTTTTGCACCTTTTGAGTTTTGAATAGCTTAATGGGAATATCATATTTTAAATAAATATACTCCCTCTGTTCTCAAAAAGTGTTCCTAGTTTGACCAAGTGTGAAATAAGAAAGTGTTAAATTATAATTGACTTCCAATTTTTTCTTGATGTTATGGATAAAAGTAAGATGCGATGAATAGATTATTAGAGAAAAGTATGATGTGATAGGTTGGGTATGAAAATGTAAGGATAAAAGTTATTTTTTAATAGAAAGTGGAAGTGTTGTTGGAAGTAGAAAAAATGAAAGATGAAGTGTATTTGAGA